TCATACATTTTCAGAGTAGTGTGAATGCCCCATGCTGATGGTAATTTGTTGCTGAAAAATGCCGATTAATCATTTTTGCAGAAAGCATATACTGGCCTGTGTTTAGTGTTGCAACTGCAGCTGCTATTGTTGCAAGTCAGGCCACCATAACTGCAACTTTTTCATTAATCCAGCAGGCCCTTGCGCTTGGCTGTTTCCCAAGAGTCAAAGTTGTATATACATCAAGGAGCCATCACCAGATATATATTCCAGACATTAATTGGATTCTTATGATTCTATGCATTTCTGTGACAGCTGGATTTAAAAATCAAAGCCAAATTGGGAACGCTGCTGGTGAGTTTATCCTCTTGTTCCCTTCATATCACACCTTCTTTTGATTCTGCATAATATCCCTATAGTAACATGTCATGGAATAAACTATAAACTTTTGACTGAGCCAATGAATTTCATCCCGAGTAGTGATTACTGGGCAAAATTTTAGACAAATCTTGTTCACATTTCTCTTCTTATACATGCGCTCTGACTACTACTTGTCGTATCACGTTCCAAGCTCGCTGGTTGAACTTGCAACAACTAACACAATCGTGCATGTTGCAACAGGGACGGCTGTTGTCATAGTCATGTTGGTAACCACATTTCTTATGATTTTAGTCATGATATTAGTGTGGCGCTGCCATTGGACTCTTGTACTCATTTTCGCTTGCTTAACATTGGTAGTGGAGGGCACTTACTTTTCTGCAGTACTCCTTAAGGTCAATCAAGGTGGGTGGGTTCCTCTTGTGATTGCGGTAGCCTTCTTTATCGTTATGTATGGCTGGCATTACGGTACAGTAATACGCTTTGACATTGAGATGCACAGTAAGGTATCGATGGCATGGATTCTCGGACTCGGTCCCAGTTTAGGACTGGTTCGGGTACCTGGGATAGGACTTGTGTACTCTGAGATAGCCACTGGAGTGCCCCGCATCTTCTCTCACTTTATCACCAACCTACCCGCCATCCATTCTGTTGTTGTCTTTGTCTGCGTGAAGTACCTTCCTGTCTGCACAGTCCCAGAAGAAGAACGGTTCCTGGTAAAGCGGATTGGACCCAATAACTTCCACATGTTCCGTTGTGTTGTAAGATATGGCTACAAAGACGACCACAAAAAGGATGATGACTTTGAGGAGAAGCTCTTTGACAACCTCTTCACGTTTGTCCGGCTTGAGTCCCTGATGGAAGGATCTCCAGGCTCTGATGTATCCAGTATACTTAACCAGCAAACAATCCAATCAAGAGATGCCATGTGGAACAATAACAACAACAGTATACCTTACTCCAGTGCAGACCTGTCAATTACATCAGTGGACTCAATTGAGCTTGCTGATTCTCCAATGTACATGAGCCAGCCTCTGACGTGCTCCATTCCGACAAGCAGCCAGCTGGTGGAGATCGATGAAATAGAATTCTTGAACAGGTGTAGAGATGCAGGGGTGGTGCACATACTGGGAAATACTGTAGTGAGAGCTAGGAGGGACTCAAATTGTTTTAAAAAGATGGCTGTTGATTACCTTTATGCATTTCTTAGGAAGATATGTAGAGGAAACAGTGTACTCTTCAATGTTCCTCATGAGAGTCTCTTGAGTGTTGGACAGATTTTCTATGTATAAACACTTTTTGGTACTATAAACCAGCAATTGTAAATCGGCTTCTGCTTTTCAATTTCATGATCATTGTAGAAACATTCAAGATTAGAGAGAGAGAGAGAGAGAGAGAGAGAG